AGCTTAAACTGAAATACCCTATTTCTATAGAATACATATTTCATTAAATATTGCCATAAATTCAGACTGAGAATTTTTTGGTGTGTGTGTGAGATTTTTTTAATGCCAAATTACATGTACTGTTTCTGTTATATTTACTTATAAAGGAAAGAGTAAAGTTAATGAGTAAATAATTTCAAAACAGCGATATTGCTTAAAATTCTAATTTTGCATATTTGTATAAATGACCTCTAAGTCTGAACAGATCCATTTGTATGATAGAGACCTTTGGCTTCGGTTAATGAGCGACCCAGTTTGTATGTATTTTTAAGTGTAGATGTTAAGATGATGAAGCATTTAAAATAGCAAATGTGAAATGTGCCATTTACAGAAATGCTGCTGCCTGTAATAAAAAGAAAGGTAGCACTTTATAGTACAGCTCAGTAATAACATGATAATAGTGGTGTAATAATCAAAAATTTGTAACGCACAGTTAAAAAAAACCTGTCAATTGTTCTCTGTCTGTGAGGTGCCCACACTTGAAAAAGACCAGACTTTGAATTTCACTCAAATTTATTTTGACCAGCTAGTTTGATAGCTGATAGGTAGGTAGGTAGGTAGGTGAAAAACCTTTCAACACAAAAACAAAGAACATTTCATTAATCAGTCAGGTAAATTAAATGCATTATACAGAATACAAATGAAATAACAAATATATATATACACACTTCAGTAAAGCCATTTAACATAGCTAGAGCTAAATACTTTTGTCTAGACTATCATTTAACCCAGTTTAAGTTAGTTTTACATTCATTGGTTTTTAATCCCAGATCTGAGTAATTTCAAACAAGGAAGATGGAATAAACTGGTTCTTAAATACACAAAATGTGTCTACCATGGATTTTACACTTTTTATAAACAATTTTCAAAGTATACATTTTAGAGTTTGCAAATATTTTAATAGAGACCTTAACCAAGGATTTTCTTTTACAAAGAATTATTTTCCTTAAATTAACCCAAACATATTTACACTAGTTTTAAGATTTAACCAAGGATTTGGGGTAACTATTTTTAGTATTAATTAACATAAGTATGTGGGAAACACTATCTACATAAACAATTTATCCAAACTTAAAAATTCATTTTAATATCAATATAATTTTTTAAACTTAAATGCAGTAACTACTTCCCAAACATAAATACATCTCCACAATTGAGCTTCCATAGTTCCCAAACATATAAGCAGCAAATACGAGTCCAAGAGCTTACCGATAGCCCGTCTAGCTCAAAGTCTTCCTCACAGTGTAAAGTGGATTGCTTGTTTGCTGTCCTCTCAGTATGTCGCACACGGGTCAAATGACTGCTGCATGCATTTTAAGGTCTACTAGGCATGCCAGCCCTTGATTGCTCTAGTTCAGCTCACCTGGCGGAGCGGCGCACACCAGGCCGCGCTTAGCTGTAGATTGCACAAGGTCTAAATCAGCAGCCATGCACAAGCAGCAGCACAGAGCA